TTGTACACTAACTGTATCTCTGTATCTACACGCACACAAACATACTGACACACAGAAATATAAATATATATATATATATATATATATTCATTCTGTGTACTTAAGTGAAACCTTAAACCACTAATCATTTATAATTTGCGGTTGGGTGGGTCCAGACAATCTGGCTACATCATGCAAATAGCCCCTACACCTGCAACGCATGTAAATAAAATCAATGTGTTGGCAGGAGACAGTGCAACAAATCATGTGGATCCCTTTGTTCTTTTTTTCTCCTCGTTATGCTTAAGCGTCAAAGAGCCAAAGGAGCGCATGCTCGATGCGCATGGGACTCACCTGGGACACGTTGCTCAGCTGCGGTTGAAAGTCCCATACGCTGAAGGACCAAATGATGCACTACAATACAAACTGTGCTACACAGCTGCGGCTTAATAACCAGCTCATGACGAGGCCGGATGCTAAAACTAAAACAAGAAGTGGACACCACAGGTGACTGTGCCTTTTTTCCCACTCGCCATAACCAACGAAAGTTCCCTCACTTGTAAGTACTTCTGTGTTTCCTCTTTCGTCCCTTGCCTAAACCTGTAAGAGTTTGACAGAATTGTAGGAAACACATGTAGCAGTTTTACTAACAAGTGTATTTTGTAGACTAAAAGATGCAGGCAAGTTTAGTCTATTCATCCATCCTTGGAATTAGATAGATGTAGAATCAATAGGCCATTCTTTTCAAGTCAAATACAATATGGAAGCAGTAACTGATGAAAGAGGCAAATAATCCTTGTTGTTTCATAATACATTTTCCACATTGTTCCTACAGGGGCTGAGTACCTGTCGACAGGTAGGTATTAGATGATGTTGTGAATGTGTAGAGAAGAACAGATAATAAACCTCCCTGGACCATCACTAAGGAGACAAAAAACCTCCCTTGAGTTGATGGCAGTGTTTGCTATAAAACCTCTTATGAGACTCGTTCTGTTGTATAAATCTGTACAGTGAAGGCAGTGCCATTTTTCTTTCTCTGCTTTGCATTATTATCTTTAAAAGAAAGCCTCATGTTTTTCTGTGTGCAGGTGTGTGTCTGCTTTGTATACCACAGGCAATGGGAAAATGCTGCAAACGCAATGGGAGACTGCTGTGCTTGTGTCTGCTGCCTTGTATGATGACTGGCCATCTTTTAATTTATATTGGCATCTCCATATTCATCACCATCTCCTACGCTCCGCCAAAAATAACTATCCACTATATTGCTCCAGGGATTTCTGCTAATTCTTCAACTATGGCCTCCCATCCACTCGGGCCTTTCTGGAACCTTCGTTTGGAGGACAGTGCTCTGTGGAACCAGCTTCAGCATGCTTGGGACCGTGAGCACAATCCACTACTGATAGGAAACACAACTCGCATACAGAGGAAGCCCAAAGCTAAGTTTTTATCAGAGATTAACAATGAATGTATTTCTGACAACACATCATACAAGTGTTCAGTCCCTCACATGCAAGATATAAACAAGCTGCCAGAACAGATTAGGGCATTTATCAGGTCAATGTACTACAGGGAGTACCCCCTTCTTATCAACCAACCTGGTATGTGTAGGAAAGACAACAGTAGCTTTGATCTGGACTCTCCCATGCTCCTCATGGCTATCAAATCTCAAGTGGGAAACTTTGAAAATAGGCAGGCAATCCGTGAAACATGGGGACGCAGTGGTCTGGTGGAAGGGGAATCAAATAAAAACGGTGGATTGGTGCGCACAGTCTTTCTTCTCGGAAGGCAGGACTCAGGTACAGGTCCACACCCAGACCTAAAAAATCTCCTGGAGCTAGAGAACCTGAAGTATGGGGATATTCTACTGTGGGACTTCAGAGATACTTTTTATAATTTGACCCTAAAGGACTTGCTGTTCTGGCGATGGTTCGAGCAGTACTGTCCCACTGCCATCTTTGTTTTCAAAGGGGACGATGACGTCTTTGTCAGAACAAATGCCCTTCTGGATTATCTGCACAAGAACGAGGAGGAGCACAAACTACAGCTACTTTTAAAAAGGAAAACTGAGATGGATATGTTCATCGGGGACGTGATTACTAATGCAATGCCAAACCGTGAACCGTCCACAAAATACTACATACCAGAAAATTTCTACAAAGGAGTGTATCCACCCTATGCTGGTGGAGGAGGGGTGGTGTATTCTGGATCACTTGCACTACGTTTGAAAGAGGTGTCTGAGAGGGTCCACCTTTTCCCTATTGATGATGTGTATCTTGGAATGTGCCTGCACAGACTCGGACTTTCTCCAACCCATCACCCGGGTTTTTTAACATTTGACCTCCCAGCAGGAGAAAGGGAAAATCCTTGTGCATACAGATCTGTTCTGCTTGTTCACAAACGGAGTCCCAAGGAGATGGTTACTTTGTGGAAAAAGCTCCGGAACCTGCCTGGTCAATGCTAAGGCTCATTTGCCAACCAAATAGGACTCAGTGAGTACAGGATGACTGCTACAACCACACTCACTGGCTTCATCTTCATATCAATCAGGCTTTGTCACATTACGTAAGGTCACATAATGGACATTTCCTGTGTGGAGTTAAAAACTGAATAGAAGACCAATCTACCTCAAAGAGGGTTTGTTAATAAGGCATCACAGATTAAGGGCATACATTCTGGCCCCTTATTCACCATCTGTATTTATTTACTCTTCTTTAACTTAAAGGTTTTATTTTCTTAACTATAGAAAATATTTTACCATTGTAAATGATTTAGATGTATTTATACAATGGCTGGTGAACATAGTTTTTTTTTTTCCCCTTTCTTAAATTTCTTGGCACTATTTCTTCCCTTTAAGTCAGCAGTTTCTTTTAAAATGTTCTGATGTTTAACTTTCACTTCGAAACTGCAACACAGCTTGATTAAATGTATAATTTTCATGTGATGTCTTCTGTACCTCAAAAAAAGCAATGCTTGACTTTGAAAGGTGTGTATCTACATGGTTGTAATCCTTGAAAAAAACTTTGTCTTTTTTTAAATGTTCTCTGCTGCCAGAAAAATGGGTTTTTTAGTGTCAATCTATGATGCTAACTACTTCCAACTTCTTTTATTAAATCATAAAGCATAAAACAACGTCTTTCAAGTCATGAAAATCTGAAAATCACTGATAAAGTAAAATTATGCAGTTGTTATTCAAAACGCTATAAGTTGCCTTAAACATGGACAATGTTCATGGGTATATAGATGTTGTAACACTGGAGTTTGGTTGTGAATAAAAAAGATGAACTTTAGCATTTCTTGAAAGATAAAATACTCAGTAAGAGTTTAAGTGCATTAATAGACACATTATAAATCAGCAGCATGGCACAAACAGCAGAGATCACATATAAGTAAATATTTCCGCACTTGCAGTCTGAAATGTTTATGGATAACTCTAGTGTTTGGCGCGCTCGTCTCTTCTTTCTTCTTGATTATATTAGTAGCCCATTCTTGTCTGGTCTCAGTTATTGATCTTAGTACTAATAGGCAGACAGTGGCTTTAGAGTAATGCATTTGGAGGAGTCCATCCAAAGAAAAGACAAGAAAGATTGTTAAGATGATGAATACTAAACACAAAATATATATTTTTTAAAACATTGTATAAAAACAAACACCCTAATTGTGTTTATGTGTACACATATATATTTATATGTGTTTATATGTGTGCTTTTGTTGAGATGATACTCAGATTAGATCTGACAATATTAGCTCATGATAGTTTAGACAGGCATCTAGTGTTGCAGTGATGCAAATGAAGGCAAGTTCCTGAAAACACAGGAGTGATGATTTAATGTTAGTAAGCCTGAGTAACAGCCCCACCCAGTGAAGCTCTGTGGTAGTGACCAGAAGGTTCCTGCTGAATTTTGACCTCTTTTAGTTATTAAAGAGGCCAAAAGACGATAAACAGTCCTATTTTTGAGAAAGAAGAATGACAGAAGGGATAAGTCAAGAGAACAGACACTTGAACATTGTTGCATCTCAACGATGCTGATAATTTATGATTCTGTGTGCTTTAGTATTTTTTATCTGATAATGAATAAATATCATAAAAGCTAAACTGTGTGTTTTAAGTCATTTTGTTAAAAAAATTGCCTTGCCTGAATGCAAAGAGGTGACATTCCAGTGAATACATAATCGTTAATATAATTCTGAAATGACAGATGTTTTTTTCCTTGTTTTTTATTTTTGTGTGTTCTTTGACCACAGTGGAGAATACTTCTATATTTATATATTAGTATTATTTTTAGTACTAGTGTTTTAAGTGGAAATTGATCGCGCATAGGAAAAAAAGGCACAACGTTACAGACAATACATCCTTGATTATTTGTGTACATTGATGACAGTATATTTCAAGTAGTCCTGTAACCTTCTTTGTCAGGAAGAACATCTGTACATGAAGAAAAGAACCCTCATCAGCTCAGTAAAATCAAAAACTGTGTGATTAATTCTTAGAAGGTCAATATCAAGGTTGCTTTTGAATTTACAGATGTATGCTGAAGACGTTTATTAATGCAGCTTCCATGGAAAAACGTAGAATAAAAATATTTGTAAAACATAAATTTTGATGGAAGAGGAATAATAAACGCACTGTCTAGAATTTTTGGTACAGATTATTTTAAATAAACTTTAAATAAAGTCAAATTGGGGAAACACTGTACACCAAATAATTACCTGTATTACAAAATCCAAACAAGATATTCAAAAATAAGTCTTTGATCCAACAGGAATAGTCAAGTGAAGTTTGTATTCCTGATGAACCGTCACCTGTGTTGATATTTTGGGTATTGCAATTAAATGGAAATGCAAACCTATAATCTGAAGTAAAAGCTTATTACACATTTATATATTTTACATGTTTTTGTCACTGAGGCAGCCTATCAAATAGTTTCACAGAAAAGAAGTCAGACATGATGGATGAGCAATTGACGAGTGATGTCATTAGTCCAGTCAAACAGCGCCACCCAGTGGAGATCTGTGGCAGAGACCAGAAACATTCCTGAAGACTCTGGACCTCCTCCACTTAGTATATATAAACTGGGACAGTCTCACTGCTGAGACAGAAAGCAAGACAAGCAACACCAAGAAGACAACAGACACCTGAACAGTGTTTCATCTCACAAGAAGAGGACTCAACACTAAACCCACTGAAGATGCTGTGCTCTCATGGAGTCCAGTCTGCACTCAGTCCATTCATGGACTTCTACTGGCCTGTACGCAGTCTGTGGCCAGAGATCAAGCCTCTGTTCTACCAGCAGGATCTCCTGCAGAGAAACCTACAGGAGCTGTGCAGCAGTCTGGAGCTGATGGATAAACTTCAACACAGGATCCTGGAGGAGACAGATCCTTTCCAAAGCAGCATGGCTGTGCAGCCAGTTGCCGTCCAGCTGGAGAAAGAGGGAGACAAGTTTGCTCTGATGCTGGACACTCGAGGCTTTTCCCCAGAGGAGCTGTCTGTCAGGCAGGTGGGCAGGAAGCTGAGAGTCAGTGGCAAGACAGAGAAGAAGCAGGAGGACGGGAAAGGCTCGTACTCTTACAGACTGCAGGAGTTCAGACAGGAGTTTGATCTGCCTGAAGGACTGAACCATCAAACCATCACCTGCCACCTGTCTCCAGATGGGAAGCTCCACATCCAGGCAGCCAAAGCTCCGTGTGTTGAAGAGGCTGAGAGAGAGCTGACTATCAAGAGGAGCTCAGAGGACAAAGCACAGCAGAGTGTGTGTTCACAGGCAGAAGACAGCAGGACAGAGACACACAGCAGCACACAGGACAAACCTGAAAACATGGATATGAAATGATACCAATGTAAAATAAATGTTTTTTTTTAAATAATATTAATTTCTTTTTATATGTGTAATTGTGATTTATATCTGATGATAAATAAACATCACAAACACTGAATCATGTTGTGTGGGGTTTTTTTTTCTATTTCATACATTAAAAAAATACAGTACATAAATGATAGAAAAAGAAAGTGATAAATATTATAATCTATTCCATCCATTCATGTTCTCCAGCTCCCAGCTGCCATAGGTGGCATACAGAGAATGAATGTCATCCATGTTCATAATATACAACTTACAATCAAGCATATGTTTGGACTGTGGGAGGAACATTGATTATCAAGAAAGATACTTCAAAGTAACCATGATGGTGGTGCAGTCGTTAGCACGGTTACTGCACTGTGGCCTTTTTTATTAATATCCATATAGGCTGTGTCACTTTAAAAAAAGACATGTAAAAATAGGATAATGTACATATAAAACAAGTAAAACATACGTTTTAACTTTGATTTCAGATTATAAACTAGCATTTGTTTTTTATTGCAATACCCATATATCTCAATTTGGAGAATCTTTTTATCAGGATTTCAGACTTCACTTCATTAATCCCAATGTACTAAAGTCTTTTTTAAATGTTTTGTTCAGATTTTCTAATGCAGGTAATTAATAGATGTATAGTATTTCCCTAATTTGAGATAAAATAAATACATCTGGCAAATAAAAGATTACACAAAAGTGTTTACTGTTTTAAGTTTTTAAAGACAAATGACCTGAACTCAAAATTGTTTCTGTTAGTATTTGTTTTATTGTTCCATTTTGCATGAATGGTGCAGTAAGTAATTTCTTCAACATGTATTGGTAAATTCAAAAGCAAGCTTGACCTTCTGTGAACTAATCACACAGTATCTGATTTTATTCAACTGATGATGGTTCTTTTCTTTAACATCGATACTCTTCATGACACAAAAGATGAACAGTTTAAAGTGTTAAATGAAACACTATCAAAATTGAATGCAAATAATCCATCTGGCATTGATGAAAGCTTTGTGCTTTTTTCTCTGGATAATCAAATTTCATTTTTGGTGATTTCTGTAAAATTAAAATAATACTAATGTATGAATAAGAAAAACAGTGGGAAAAAAAACCATTTCAGAATCATACTAACGATTATATGTTCATTGGCATGTCCATTCTATCCATTCAGGCAAGGCCTTTTTTTAAACATATGACTTAAGTAAAACACACAGGAAACAGAGTTCAGCTTTAAACATTTTTAATCGTCATTACATTAAAAAAACAAAAAAACAAAAACAAAAAACAAACCAAAAAAACAACAACATATAGGACCATAAATTATCATTTGCATTGAAAAAAAAATTTCTATTTTAAATTGACGTCATTTTAAATCTCATTCCATGTTTTCAGGTTTGTCCTGTGTGCTGCTGTGTGTCTCTGTCCTGCTGTCTTCTGCCTGTGAACACACACTCTGCTGTGCTTTGTCCTCTGATCTGTGGCAGAGACCAGAACATTCCTGAAGACTCTGGACCTCCTCCACTTAGTATATATAAACTGGGACAGTCTCACTGCTGAGACAGAAAGCAAGACAAGCAACACCAAGAAGACAACAGACACCTGAACAGTGTTTCATCTCACAAGAAGAGGACTCAACACTAAACCCACTGAAGATGCTGTGCTCTCATGGAGTCCAGTCTGCACTCAGTCCATTCATGGACTTCTACTGGCCTGTACGCAGTCTGTGGCCAGAGATCAAGCCTCTGTTCTACCAGCAGGATCTCCTGCAGAGAAACCTACAGGAGCTGTGCAGCAGTCTGGAGCTGATGGATAAACTTCAACACAGGATCCTGGAGGAGACAGATCCTTTCCAAAGCAGCATG